TTTCTGACTTCTTGGCTCAACATAAGAAAACAAAAAAAAAGAGAGAGAGTGAATAATCTTGTTTTGCCTTTGAATTAAGGTCATTACTCTTCCTCTATTGGCAGATCTTTTTTTCTTCTTGTTTTTAAGCAAAAACTAACAAAATACTACTAAATACTTTTTTTTCAGAAAACAAAACTTAATATCTTAAGTCATTTTGCTCCTCAATCCATTCAAGAATGTTTAGATATTTATACTAGAAAACAATTATACAAACTAGGCCTATACTACAAAAGATGTGTCTGTTTTAACAGACTTAACAGAGTTTTTACAGTGTTTTCCTCACTGTTCTCATCTCCTTTACAGTTTAAACACTTGGTCAAATGCACATAAAAGCAGAGGTTTCCAACATAAACCTGTTTACACACACACTCAATGGTTACAAGTTTGAGACGGGACTATTTTTACCTCCTTGTCAACACCCAACCCTGTGTACCGTTCACACAACAGTGATTGAGATAATTGGTTGTTGTTTAGCTGAGTAGACATTCAAAGACAACCAGCCTTCCTTCCCTCTGCCATGCCTCACAATGCCCTGGCATTACACACAGTAAGTGTTCCACCCACAGGCATTAGCTATTAGTGCTCACCATTCCCAGAGCCTCTTCCAGAGTGCTGAGTGAGAGAGCACTGTTTACACTGCAGATGCATTAAAAAATGATCAGCAGAAGAAAGAGAGCGAGGACAGGAGGGAAGCCTCTCCCAGGCAGAGTAAATGCAAGACTTGAGCTATATTGTGGAATAAGAACAAGATGTTAAAGCAGGAGAGGAGAGAATGAATGGGTGGATGGACTGTAATTAGCATGTTTCACTGTATGCCCAGAAACCTTTTATGTGATAGCAGGGATGCCAAAGGTACCACTATTACTTCAGTGCTAAAATATGAAATAGAACAGTTCCATTATTTTCTGCAGCATCAGTAGCACACTGACTGACATGCAGCTGCTTTTGAATGCTCACATGCATATTTACTGCCTCTGCAATGCATGTCTTGTTCCAAAAAAAAGGTTAGACAAAAAAATAATAAAATGATATGGTTAAAAAAAAAAAATAATAATAAATAAAATAAAATAATAAATAAATAAATAAATACAAAAATAAATAAATAAACAATAAAATAAAATAAAATAAAATAAAATAATAAAATAAAATAAAATAAAATAATATAAAATAAAATAAAATAAAATAGCTTCCTCTCTCCAGCTATGGCCACTCAATGAGCAGCACCTCATTGTTAATTCCCAATGAGGCACAAAGTCATTTTCCAGAACCTTCACTTTCTCTGCTCCTCTCTGGTGAAATAGGCTTCCAACTGTTGAAACCATCACAACTTTCAAGAAGCAACTGAAAACACCTTTTCTGACAGAATTTAACCACTCACATCCATAAACTAATACTACGAATATTGTTGGCTATGTGACGAATTCAACCCAGGCTCATTGGAAATACGTACCTGTGGCAACATTTCTGCAACACTGTTATTACGTACCTTACTGCATGTTTCGCGGCAGTTTCAAGTCCAGTGAGTTGTGCTGAAATGCATGCTCAATACGTAACCGTGCCATGGCATGTTTCATTACGCTGGTACAGGCACATATTGCTGGGTTTTTATTACCTACCCTACAGTGTTAATGAATGCAAAAGTAATATAAAACATGCAACCATCAGTTGGTTTGAGCTGTTTTGTCGAACTGTAGTTTCACGCGATTCGCACTGGAGCACCACACAAGTGCAACGCCATATCGGGCGAGCTACCAAGCAAACCTGCTGCATTAGAAAACCCAGACATATTAAGATGCATAGGCGTAATTTGCGGGTGGGACGGGTGGGACATGTCCCCACCACTTTTTGCCAGGGTTTGGTATTGAAAAATATATTGCCGAAGGTATGTATTAAAGGGAAAACAAGATCAACAAATCATTCTTCATAATCTAATTAGGGTGATAAAAAAACAACAACAACAACATTTGACTCCTTACACATGCATAACTCGTGCAGTGCAATAACGACGTGATTTGCTGCTGTCGCACTTTTCGTAACTATAGCATTTTATTTTAAAAATGGAGAGCTTCCTTGTGCTAAGTAGGCCTGCCCTCTACTAAAGATTTTTCTAGTCAACTAGTCGCACGTTATATTAAATTGATTAATATAATAATATATTAACCATACTTCAATATAGGCTATAGGCAGACGTATTAGGCTAGAGCCTATTCCGCGCTCAAGCTCGCGCATAAAGCAATTGCCTCAAAGCACTGGCAAAGTGATTATGAACGTGTCGGGGGAAAAGAAGACATTTTAATTATTTATTAATAAATTAGTGCTTTCTCGCCATCTCCACATGGACGTGCCTTTAATAGAAATGCACCTTTTATACGGACAACAAAATGTAAGAATATTACAAAATCGAGTGGGCGAGTTTTCCTTATATTTATTCTATTATTCATTTAAAAATTATAATAACCTGTTTTGGTTATATTTACTATTAATTGCAGAAGGTGCGCTCAGCAAAAATGACGCG